ATTTCTCTATGAATCAATAAAAAAGATATCAATATATATTATCAGTGAATGCTTTGAATAAATTGTTCGCCAGTAAATCGAACACAGTTCTAATAAACCTGGGACAAAGTATGGAATTTATTGTATATCCCAGTAGAAACTGGATATCTATACCGTGCATAGATGATTTTCATGATAATAGAAGTCAAGAAGGTCAGATCATAATGATCGAGTGATACTTTTTATTCCTATTAAAATATGGGAAGCATTTATATCAATTTGGAGGAAAAAATATATAATATCCCGTTCTCATTTGTACATCTACCATGGCCTTTCAAATACCGTCAGAAACTCCGTTTTTGTTATTTTAATTTATATTTTAACGGAATTTCATACACGAATACACAGACAGAGTGACACTGGTATAATATAATAATAATGCTGATGATAATAATAATAAACTTCAAAAGTGAAACAATTAAATACCCCGCTAGCGGTGCGCAAATACGTTCCATTTCCCCCCACCGAGTGCCTCAATTTTTACCGAAAGTCACGTGGCATGTGCGACCGATACAGTAAATCACGTTAAGATTTGAAGAAATTTCTGTTATAAACTGATATTAATCAGCAACTTTTTAATTGGTCAGGTGTCACTTGGTCATAAAATGTTGTTAGAGTATGTTACCGCAACCTGCATGTGACCCTCTCTGGTGCGATATTTGTGTATTATGCAATTATTTAGCGTGAAACGTAGGGGTCCGAGAGAGAACAGCCGATTTATGACACTTCGTTTGATGCGGGTCGGACTAACTTTGAATCGGCATAACTTTTTTAATAATAAAGCAATTAACATGCGGTTTAAAGCACATGAAAGGGAATTCATTTACGGAGGGAACCGTGTCAGGGATTTTTGTTTGCTCAATCAGCGACTTAATTATCTTTAATTACGTAATATGTATGGTGTAAAAAGTCGCATAAATTGTTTGACGTTACGTAATATTTTTTTGAGAAAAGATAGAAAAAAATTGAGACACGGTTCCCCAGATATTATAAGTATGTTTATTTTCCAAAAGCTTGATAACAAAAAAAAATAAAAAATGACTTTGATATGACGATTTAAAATTTAAGGATTTTTATTAAAAATCAATCATTTACAAAGGCATTTTTTTCAAATTTGTTATTTTTTATGATGATCAGCGACATTTAATGCACAAAGATTAAATAAATAACAATTATTACTAAAATAAGTTGGTTTAAATGACATTTATGTGAGTACCACGGAAAGTGTCTGTTGTCACCTTAAGCCATAATTTTATTATCCTTACAAACATTCTCTCGGGAAATGTTTCCTTAAGAATAATTGCAATTTATTTACGTTCGTTGAGTAATTTGATAAATCTGTTGTAAAGTTTACTGTCTGGCTGTAACGTTGATTAACGTACATGTACAGCCAGACAGTGCATAATGTTCGACCCGTTTACAGTCGGAAGCTACGCTTTCCCTGATGGACCAAGTGAGATATTTTATGATGGAAAATTCTTAAAGCCCTTTTGGGACTGAATAGTCTTATTGTTTGTCTTCTGTCTTGCTTCATCTGTCTTCTGTCTTGTAGGTGATTTTCTTGTTGCTTTGTTTTCCTTTAAGACATTGAGTACCTCTGTTATGGTCTTGGATTTACCTTTATATGTTTCTACATGATCATTTCTGTGTTTTACTTATTTCATCTTTTGTAACCATAGCAACTGTTAGAATTTCGCTTGGCGGGGATTCATTTTATTTAAAATGTCTCGTATTTAAAGGAACATGGTGGGGCTAAGAGTGAGGTTTGGTGCACTATTAACCGGTTTAAACTCCCCAGCACTGCTTATGCTGCTGCCCGTTCCAAGGCGGCGCCCCCTGTGTTCCTCAGATGTATGTTTTTGTTGTTTTATAATGTTCTGGTGACACTTTTGTGTGTATCCCTTGTTGTTTTCTCGTCTACGGTAGATATCTTCCCTTTTGCCCCTAGTTTTTTCTTAATTTGCCCCTCCCTTCCCGAAACTTCAGTCCCTTTTTCGTGTGCCCTTTTACTTTTGTGGGCTAATTATTTAATTACTTGTTTTCTTTAATTTCCTTGTCGGTTACTTTTGTTTCCTATAAGTATCATTTAGGTGATTATCCTGCCCGTTCTCTGCCTTGCGCCCTGTCCAATTTTTGTTTGGGGTCATTCTGGGCTCCTTGCCGCTGGTTCTTGTTGCTGTGTCGTGTTGGGGTTGCGTTCATTGAATGCCGCCTTTCCTTGTTGATCTTGTCTATCATAATTTCCCTTTATAACATTAATTTATTGATAGTAATGTCTCCGATAAGTTAACAGATGAAAATGGCATTGAAAGATGAAGGAAAATTCCTGCCAATATTCTAAACAGTCTTATAATTCAAGGTCATCGGATGTTTGAGAAACATTAAAATCGAGTTACAATTATCTTCGGGAAAACAAAACATATAAAATACCCTTATTCTATAAAAAATCAACAATAAATATTTATCAGAAGATGTTATGGAGATATTATGTTTGCATTAATTTATATTTCAGTTATCGCCAATATGCAAGATACCATCGTACAAAACCCTCTTTCTACAGTGTCGGAAAAGTGGAACGATATGTGTCAAAAAGATTAAAGAGAACCTCCGGCGGGACTCGAACCCGCAATCCCCGGCTTAGGAGGCCGATGCCTTATCCATTAGGCCACGGAGGCTCTTACTTTCTTATGTTACAACAGCCTAAACTTGTTGTAACATATGTATCATAAACATTCAAAAAATGAATGACAAAAATATCAACTTTGCCTTTAACCTTTGATATGAATATATTTTTTGTTTTAAAATTTCGGGTTTTGTCATTTTCATTATATAGACATTTTCTTGTTGCGTTTGATAATATTTTAATGTTATTTAGTTTAACTCTGTGTGTAAAAATGATAGTAGAAATGCGTATATATACAAGACCTTCCCCAGTCTGGAGGATAAGGCAACGACACCCTGAAAATGAAAAAAAAAACAATATCAACAAGGAAGGGCGCTGTTCAATGAACACAACCCTCGAATTTGGTGAATAAAACTTTATAACTTTAAACAATCTCAAGCAATGTTTTGTTGGATCAAATTTAAAATTGTCTTGGCGTTCTTCCTTTAACCCAGTAAGTTTCTAACATGGGGTAAGTTTTCACATATAAATTACCTAAGTATGTATACAGTAATAAATTAATGGTCAAGTATCGTCAATCTTAAGTATTATTGTCAGAATATAATTTTTAATGATTAAATATCGAATACAATTTCAATGTAAAACTTGTTTACAGAACTTGAATTTTATGGATGAATTATTCTTAAATCGGTGTGCACTAATTGACTCATACATATATCTACAGACAATTACGTCTGGGGTTGTTACGTAAGAGAATCATCTCAGAAATGTAAAGGATTCACTTTAAAGCTAATGTAATAAATATTACAGACATTCATGCTAGATAATGACAATTCTGGAACGATTACAATCAGATAATTCTTGGAATAATTTTTACAACTATTTTTTGGGGATGGAAACAATGTGCTTGTACTTTACGTGAATGTTTATTTATAAGTTTTGTGAGAGATAGACAATATACTTTTAGCCTTCATATATGTCATATATGTAAAACAGCCATATATCTTACTAAAAGAGACAAATCTTTGTGTCAAAACATATAAAATAATTACAACATTAAATAACCTGAATTGTGCGAAGGTGAAAAGTTACATATATATATATATAAATGAACTTTGTTGAATTAATCTTACATTTTGCTTTTAGTTATTTTATAAAAGTAACTTTAAGGTTAGTTTTAAATTTTAGAATTAGTACCTATGTGCGTTCTTGAGTTTTATTCAATCAACGTATGTAAAGATGTTTAATTTAGCTCGACTGGACAATTATAGTTCTCATTATGGGATCAATCAACACTGGTGTTATCAGAGCAAACTCTGGTCGTGATCTGATGGTCCTTGAGGTGACAGACAGACATCTAACAACATGGCCTACGCTCTCCTAAGGTGTCTGCAATATTGTAATGCAAATGACTAAATGCACGATCAGCAATCTTAAAGTTAAGATGTTAGTTTGTTTTTGGAATTTTGTCAGTAGTATTATTTGTTTTGCATTTAAGTCCCTATTTAAAAACATAAATCCTCTTGTAAGTTTTGTCTTTTAGAAATTTACCTGATGAATGAGTAAGATTTATGATGTTACAACATCCTTAGACAATGAAAGTGTCAAGAAAATGACAGTGATTTTCCTACAGTGGCCGTAAAAATGTTTAATATAATAACATTCAATCTCAACCAATGTTATTTATTTAACATTTCTTAGTGTACTGTATTGTCGATCAAAGTTTTAACTTGAGAGAAAAAAATTCATTTTTACTTCTACTCCTTTCGTAGGCCATTGAAATAATATGGAAACATTCTGCACTAATAGTGTTTCCATTCTATATGTCTTCCTTTTCTTATTATTTATAATGTATCTCATACGTTTCTCTTGAAAACCACGATTTTTATTATCATTGAAAACATTCTCGCAGTAAGTGATTCTTTTGGAATGATTGTAATCTATTTACGTTTGTTGAATAATTCGTCAACTATGTTGTCAAGCTCACCGTCCCACCCGTATTATCGGTTATCTCTTTAAAAACTTGACACTAATTAGGCGCCAATGTCATATTACATGGATAAATGAATCTCTTGTCTAAGCATCTTCCTGACTTGATAAAGATGACAACAAGCAAAAAAATCAACAGAACGTATAATTGACGTAACACAATAAAGACAAAACACATAAGGCTATAGCAACTCTACCTAATTGATGTGAGGTTAATAAAATATAATAAATCTTGATTCTATTTTAATTCGTACAAAGTCGACTACAGAGCAGAGAAAAAGGGAAATCCCTACAAAATTGTCCAGATCGGAGAAATGAAAATATTTCAAGCTCGATCTGATTGAAACGGTAGTGGAAAGTTCAAACAACCATTCACGCTCCCTAGCACCAGTAGAAATCAACATTTTATATGACATGGTACAATTTTGAATTTAGAAGCATGTGCAGACTCGCAAAAGCTGTCATTTAAAAGCATGCAAAGTTACAATTTCCCCTGCTTAATTTTTAATCGCCTTAAAAGGCATACCAATGAAAGCGTTGATACATGTATCAAATAAAAGGCCTACTATGTCCCAGAATTACTCTAATTTTAGTTTTATAGATTTAGCCTATTATATCGAAGTCAATGTAATAAAAATATGATAATAATAATAATTCTATATTCATCGCTACTTTCTTTAGGATATAGAAATCTAATATAAATATTTATAATATAAATGTTGTAAATACAATTATTATTCTTGTATGAAAACGTTATAAAACTCATGAGAAGAAAATATTTATTTGTTTGTGAAGCATAATGTGCCTTTAAGTATTTTATACGGTTCAAAAATAACATACATACACAAAAGTTTATATTCCTATTCCGTGCACAAACAGTTATGGAAAAGATTATTTCAAAATTATCCACTCAACAATATTAACTGACAAGAAGAAAGAAATCAATAATGAAACATTAGTCTTGATGCGCAATTACTTAGTTTATTTATTGATCATTAAAATTTTGAGTCTGTAAAACAAAGCAATATAAAATGAAAGTGAATAATGTTAAAGAATTAAAGAAATGCTGTGTAACGAACTATATATCAAAATCAGAATATAAATAAAATCAGAGAGTAATGATTACCTATAATCGCTCTCCTGAGGATATGTTTTATCTGGACATGATTTCATTATTATATGAGGCTACAACGTTTTATGAAAATATGCCAAGCGGCTATTAAAATATTAATTCTTTATTATATAACTGGTAGGCAGATACACGTTGAATAGAATATTATGACATTATACTTTTCGGTAAAGTACCTCCAAAAGATGATTCGCATTGATGCTTATAATCTGAAAAATGTTGGTATAGATTTACTAGACAATTCTACACATATACATCTAAAGTTTAGGTATTACAATATGAAAGCAACAGATTGTTTAAAGGTCTTTTTTCTATATATGAATGTAACAAGTGCAACTGTTCTATATGTTCTGGAATATGTTAGTTTTTATCCCAAAGTTAGTTTTTAATTAAACACATTTGGGAGACTCTGTGAAGTACAGTTATAGAATAGAAATTTTTTTAATGTTTGTTTTTTACACGAGTCTTTGTCATATCAAAAAATCCCCCTTGGCGGTCGTAAATTAATTCTATGGTTCATTGAATGTCATTTGCTGAATGTCGCCCTTTCTTGTTGAAGTCTTTTTTCCTATTGTATATTAGACATATCAACTCAGATACAATGTTATCATGTTATGTGTTATGATGAGACGTGTAACCTATCGATGCACCAGGAGCTTCCTTCAGACTTCTTCTTCCTGGGACTTCATCACATATATTCCTGTCATTATCTGGACAGTCAATTGAAGTTTTACCTGAAGGTTGAAGATATATATCATCAAACAATTTATGTATGTTAGAATCAGATCTTTGTACTATGAAAACAAGTAAATGGTTGAAATTGCTAAAATTGCTATTATGTTTATTTTTCATTTATTTCAATAATACTTATAGTTTCATTGCAGTCAGTTGTAATAGAGAGATTCTTAATCCTTTCACTGCCATAGTGACGGCTTATGCCGTTCCTGTTATTTTCGGCGTATTTGCCATATGAACGGCTTTTGCCGTTTCTATAATCATAATAACAATAATAAATCAATAATAATAATAATAATGATAAATATAAAGAAAATTATACCATCGGCAATAATTATTATTATACTTGCAGATTTGGAAACATATATAATTATTATAATATTAATCACAAATAATAATGATTATATTAATTAATAATATAGTAATTTCTTAAAAACGCTCTGGCAGATAGGTGATCAATAAAACAATAACCCTCTGGCAGCGAAAGGGTTAATCAGACCAGACATGTAAATTTTTAACTTGTTAACACACCTGAACTGTATATTTTAATTATTATCTATGAGTTATAACAACAGATTTCGGGGCTTGAATGTTTTTTAACCTGCATTTTTTATGCATTAATTACTTTTTTCTTGAAGAAATGTGTCTTACTCATCAGTTTAGCAAGATCGTCAGCGATTAGGTCTATTCCACATCGCTTTTCAATAATATCATACAGAATATCTTTGACTTCGGCCGGTTTTTGGAGAAGTAACTGCATTATTTGCTCTTTAATCTGGTTACTTTCACCTTGGTTGGACATTTGTAAAGGGCTTTTCTGAGGAATTTGGTGGTTCTGTTTTGATTCAAATTGTTCACGAGAAGAAGGTAGGCAAAGCTCAGCAGTTTCACGTGGCGAACTCCTATCCTTGTGGATGTCACGTCGTACTGACGGAAGTCCGAAGTCGTTAATGTTTTTAGGAGGTTTAAGATGTCCATGCTGAGCCTCCGTATCCGTGTTACAAGTAGGTTGTAGACAAGACTCCATTGTTCTAGGAAGTGGTGGGAGAACCAAATATCTACATCCAGCTTTGTTAATTTTACTTTGCTGTAGTGTAGAAGGTACAGCCTTATCTGTAGTATCAGTAGTGGAGGCATTGCTAGATGGTTGGGGTAGATCATTGCTAGATGGTTGGGGTAGATCATTGCTTGTAACTTCGGTAGAAGGTGGAGAGAGAGGTACGTCTTTATTAGGAGCTCGGTGTTTGGGTAGTCCAGCACTATTCATGTTACGTGCAGTGGAATGCATATCTTTCATAGAAGATGGCGGTGTCTTATCACATTTAATGGCACTAGGGGGTAGAGGGAGTCGCCAAGCATTTCCAATGCTAATAGGTCGAGAAGGCCAACCTGCATTTAATTTGCTATCTTGAGATAATTTTGTTGAAAGGGTTTTGCTTCGTCGAAATGGGGATGCTGAAGGCAGTACTTGTCCATTCATTTGTACCCTTGAAAAAAGAACAGAAACATATTTTGTCAAAACTTTTGTCAAAACTTAAAAGTACTATTTGATGATATTTTGTTTGAGCCCACAAATGTTAGCACAAAAGGTTAGGCACATTCCAAAAGTGGCGGACTGCTTTGGTATTTGGAAAGTATGTTCTCCAATCGAAACCGTATTATCAAAAATGCATTGCAAGATTTTAATTTTAGATTAAGTAATAAGATAGAAAAATCGGAATCAGTTGAGAAAGCCAACAACGGCAAAATAGATAATGTTGCAGGCTCTGTTTGATTGAGCCTGCTCATGGACGGTAGTGGTAAATGTGCAAAACCCATGCCACTGTCAAAGTTTAAGTCACCCTTAAAATGTCAAAACTCAAACATTTTGAATCTGTACCATAACGTCTTTAGTTTTCAAATGATTTTTTAAATTAAATGCAAAGTTTTCTTACATAAACAATGATTATTTTCACTACGTTATATCCTGTGTCGTCGATGTCAGGTGGGGTTTACATCACTTCTTTTGTCGGTCTATCCTTCTCAGGTTAATTAATTCAATCATTTAACACGAATAAGTAGGAATTGTTTAAGACGAGATTGTCAACGTGAATACCATTTTTGTGCTATAACCGTATATTTTCTATTCCTAAAAACATTTAATCACCATTGTTCGGCCTTTTCAAGACTTCCTTTCCGCCTTGATTTTTCATCTCTTCGGCTAAATTTTTAAACTGCAAATTAACAAGCTTTTATAATTAAAAATAATTTAGTCCTTTTACAAACGTTGATTTTTTTTCTGCATGTATGAAGTCTTATAAGACCAGGTTCCATCTTCCACAGAAAAAAACGCGTTTTTCAGAAATTATACAAATGATAAAATAATTTTCAGTGACATTGACCACTAATACCTGAAAATGAGTTTGACACGTAGAACTAGGTCAAGCATTTTGCTGGCATGGCCATTTGAATTGTATGTTGTTACAGATTCCAGTGACCTAGATCTTTTGACGAGAAAATTGATGTGGCATGTAAAATGTATCAAGGTGTTTTCACAAATAAAAGTTCATTAAAAAGGTGTTTCTTTAAGTATTCAAGTTTATGACCATGAAACAAAAATAACATTATTTATGAAATAAAATAACATATCTCTCTCATTCTTTCGTTTCTTTAGTGTTAAGATGCTGCTCAAAGAGAGGGAAATGTGATTTAAGGAGTTTCATATTTATAAAAAGTTATAATTTAGGAGGTGAGTATTGTTGAAGCCGAGCAAGCATTAGAGCATACAGTCTTTATTGATTTCTGACACTTAGCATTCAGTTCTGGTGACCTGTAAATAAACTTACATGCATTCTAGCCTCTTGTTTCAAGTCTACATGATGACCTTGTTTCAGTTCTGCAAGATCTGCAACATCTTCTTCTGTTTGTTTGTCTTTGCTTTTGTCTGAAGATGGTCTTGTCGACCAGCTGTTTTCACTTGTATGATGTGCTTCTGGTACGATACAAACAATATTCTATTTATTACATTTCGTATTTCTATTTTTTACAAATATAAGCAATTTTGATTAGTTCCATGTTACCGTGTTAAGTTACTTTAAAACTGGAAGAGGGAGCAAAATCACTTAACAAGAGGGTTATTAGAGCCCTTTTATCACCCACGTGACATTAGTGTCCGACTATCATCATTGAGAACTATAAGTAAAAAAAAAGAATGTTACAGTTCAAAATGCATGGCTACTGCTATTAAATTTCAAAAAGTGAATATGCAAAAAGTATCTAGTAGGGATGGAATATGAAGTATTGGTATAAAATATACTGACCGCTGTTGACAATTAATTTTTCACATCACTCGTTATAGAGCTACCTGCAGTAAACAGGCTGTAGTTCAATCATATTACATGTATGCTACTTTAATGTGTCAATTGCAGTCAATTATTATGGTTCCAATGAAATTATTCAATGACATTGCATTGAGCTAAAATTAAGTTTGTTTCTGTTTTTGTTCAGTCGTCATGGTAAAATAAGTATATACAATGTACTTTAAAGACTGAAAATGTTAATATACTTTTCAGCTCTTGAGACCCGGATATTTACTGAACCGGAACCATTTGAACAAATTTGAAGGGGGTGTCATTTGAATAAATTATGGACGACGAGCAGCAAAGATCATAAGGGCTTAAGCCGTCACTTGGTGATAGGTGAGCCAATGCTAACATTGTTGAATACCTTTATGTTGTGACTTACCCTTTAGTTTAAATTGCATCATCACCTTTTTGAAATTGTCATCTGCATCTTTGTAATCCTAAAATATAGAATACATGTTTGAGTAGTTCAGTATCAGGAGAACAAAAGCACATTACAGGATTTTTTTGTGAAATTGGCAATTGTATATGTATCATTTATAAAATACGAATAGTTATGGTCTTGTTAAAGAAACTAACTATCTAAACGTCCGAAAATTAATCAGTCTCATATGAATTTTGTCGAACAATATCATATGAATTTATGCCAAAAACATAAAAAAATAGAGAAAAACAGAATCCCTAAAAAAGGTCCAACACAACACAATTGAAAATGTTGCAGGCTCGGTCTGATTGAGCCTGTTCATGGACGGTATTGGAAAGTGCAAGTTACCGTCCACGCCCCCTAGCACCAGCTTAAGCAGAATTCAACATTTAACACGAGCATGGTGAAATTTTGAATTTAGAAACATCCGCAGATGTGTTCATACGGCGGTTATCATGGAACCTTCAATGTGACACAGTAGTGCCATTCCATGAAAAGCGGCGTATAGTCCCCAAGTAAAAGAATGCTTTTGCCCTAAACGAGAAAACAATGGGCGGAACTAAATAAAATGGAATTTTGAAAGGGGATCTGAGGTTATGAAGCCTGCATATCACAGATAAGACGTCAAAAGACAATTTTAAAAAAGCAGGCAACATATCCTAAGGGTGATTATACAGTATTCAAGCAGGAATACTGGAACCACCCAAGATGAAAATGTCCAAATAGATGAAACTAAAAGTACCACTTAACATGTAAACACAACAACAATGTCGTGTTGAACGATCTTCAAGGATCGAAAATATAACATCATTGATTAAATGTACGGGGAGACTTTTTACAGCCGCCACACGGCACAAATAACACGGATGTGACAATAAAATAGAGAAAAACATTTTCAGTTTTTATTCTTCATTTCAGTACCAAAGCACAATCGATATTTTACTGATTTTTATTTGACCATTAACAGAATCTGTTTTCAAGGGTTGATACGCGTGTGTAGTAATCCAGTGATGGCAGTTTTGACCCTTATTCTTTCAATACTAGACTGAAGACTGCTGCTAATTATATTGCTCTCTATTTTGATCTTCTAAGGCGAAGTTGCTCCGTGACAACTGATGTCGGACTTTGAGTCCAATTGTCACTTGTATCTCACCGCTGATTCAGAAATCAAGTGTTGTGAGTAATTAGTCACTGGTGGAGATATTGAAAGCTACTAGCAAGTTATTCAGGAAATCCAGTTAAGTCGATCAACCGCCGAGATGTGACAAAAATTATTAGAATCAGCGTGAAACCAAACAAAACAAGCCAATTCATAATCATTTATTGTTAAAATAATTGTGCATGCATATGTTTGTCACGAAGATGTGGAGTAGCTCCTTTAAAAACTGACACTGGTAGATAAAAAAATTGGTCAAAGACAGAAAAGGCCAGGTTGCATTCGTATACCAAATATCGTGATGTTACGATAAAGATTTTACCATTGACCATTACTGTTCAAAATTTTACTAAGTCGGTAGACAGGAAGTGGATGAGCCAGATAAGTTATTAGCAATGTATCTTAATGTTGATCTAACAATAAACAATCAAACATTTTTTACAATCAGTTGTTTATTGTACAATTCAAAATGTTTTCAGAGAAGTTATTAACAATAACAATAAACAATAAGACATTTTACAACCAATTGTTCATGATACAATAAAACAGTAGTTATGATAATTACATGTTTCAATGTTACCCGTTAAAGAGATCTTCAAGATAATGACGTTAATAATGTCGCTTGGTAATATATAATATTGTATTTTTATGAATTTAAATGATAACGTAAAATCCACAAACGAAAAGTGATTACTGTTTATGTTATTTCTCGAAAGTTTCACTGTGACCTTTGAATTTGACCTAATGACCAGGTCATTACTGACCACGAGCAATGCCCTTATTAAGGTAAACAAACATTGACTTTTAGATTTGTAATGGTAGAAGTTATTGGTAAGACAAAGATAGCAGGACTGACATGGGGGGAAGCTGATCGCAAATATTGTAAGGATTTTGGTCAATTCCTTCTGCTATTTATTATAATTTTGAAAACCTTTTCTTTTCGTGTAAATTAACACGCATATTATTTCAATAAAATATGATTAAACTATGGACGAACCAACCTTCACCTCCCCCAACTCCCACCCATCCCCGAATTTCCTATCCTCCTTCACTTGTGCTCTTTTGGTTAGTGGGCCTAACATGGGCCTATTAAGCAATCATTTATTTGTTCTTTTATTTTGATTTCCTTGTAAGTTACTATTATTTTATGTGATAAGCCTATCCGTGCTCGCCCTTGCGCCCTGTCCTGTTTTTGTTTAGGGTCCTCATGGACTCCTTGCTGCTGGTTCTTACTGCTGTGTCGTGTGGCGTTCTTTTGTTTTACTTGTTGATCTTGTTTATCATATATTATTTGGTACGAACGAACTGACCACACAATATACTTCACATTTTTTCAAGTGGTTATTATTCAGTTTTGTATAATGAACATTTTAATATACTTTTGCGGGTCACATGACTAAACGAAATACCAAAACACTGCCGAAAAACCGGAATACCCGATAACAGATATTTAAAAATATAATCTTGCGTTTTATTGTATTTTATAAAATAATAAGTTTCTTTCTTATACATTGTTATTTTTGAATTTTTAAGCTCAGATAATATCCAAAGAGTTATCATATACATATTTAATAAGCAACATGTATATGTATAAGAGATTCAATAGCAAGAGAATAATACTCGACAGGGCAGAACCGGAAAGCGATAATCGACCCTTTCAATGAATAATTGCCCCCATGGCTTCAGGCCAGGGGACATTGGAAGGATGGGAGATCTGTCACTTTCAAAGTTTTAGATAGATTCTATTTCTGATGTTAAAACCTAACATGGACCTTTTTATCTTTGTAGATCTGCCAAACGGTTGGTTTTCCGTTTGCCTTTCAGTAAATTTTATGTTATTGATCCATACATACTTCAAATGGTTCATATATCTTGACAGATAAACGCTTTCTATTATTGTTTCCTTGTTTTATTTAGAAGGTAATGTTAATGCATTCCCACACAAAAAGTGCTGCCATTATGTGAACAGTGTGCAAAAGATGAGTCAATTTCATCTTTTATTACATAAGTGCTTGAATATGATATGAATGATAATATCTGATCAAATATGATATAAATAATAATACCTGATTCCGACTCTTGTTTCCCAAGTTTTTGTTCAACTCATTCATTAATTGCCGAGATTTGATATTCGTCATTGTGAATATAGAAGAAAATCCCAGATATTGTTAATGTATCACTTTTGTCTTTTTTGTATTTTACACTTGTTGTACATGTACGCACCAAACTGGAAATATATCAATAATCAATATGTATATAACGAATGAATTGCGGTAAAAAGGAATAAGAAAATTCCAATACATTTGTATTTAGCTTGCTTTAAACTCCTCATCATGCAAAGACAGGACGTGAAGTGTCTGGTTGAGCTCTTGGTTCAAGCGAGCAGAATGATTGCAAACTTGACAAAATGGCGGTCGCGTCATAAAAGTTTTACACACATTTACAGATTTGAATAAATGAGTATGAAAAAAATGACTTGAATAGCCACTTTTCAAATGTCAAAAAATCTTCATTTCTTCGTAAAGTGAGAAACTTACATTGACATATACATTCTATTAATGCATGGATAAACTAAATAATACCAAAATAACATGTTGACCCATCTACCTATAGAAAATTCGCGGAGTTTTGTTTTTAACTTTTCACCATTTTGAAAAATTTGCAACTGTTGCGTTCGCTTAAAATTTGATAATAAGAAATGCAAAACAATTTCCAAGAATATTTTTACTTTCCCTTTAATCTTTAATGTAAGCAGATAAAAAAATAATCATTATTCTCAATTGAAAATGCGCAAGTTTACATCTATGACTAAGTGATCGTATTTTAATTAATTTAGAAAGAAAAACCCGACTTGACAAAAAACTGACACAAACGATTAAATGTCCTATTCAAAATTGATACAATAGCAACAAAACATTTACTATTTGTACCCTGTAAAAATCTATCACGTGACGTACAAAATTTGTTCATAAACTTTGATATTTATATCTCATTGGCGTAGCTGACAGTATTTTTCCACAAAAAACAAAACATTCCAAATATGCATTATACATATTTGAGGTTCATGAAGCGCAGATATATACAAGTTATGCATAACATTTCATTTGTTATATTTTAAGTTGAGGAGTTAAATCATTTACAAGGTGACATGTTATGTTATATTCCTTTTATGATTGTATCTCTTTCTTTTCAACAGATTCTAGATACTAATAAGAGAAAAGATGTATATCTCAGGATATCAGTACTGTCAACATGTCAACATGTACAACATGTCAACATGGACATTCTGAATAAATATACCTGAAAAGTAAGGCATCATTTTAACTTTGATCTGATTGTTTTATGTTGCATTGTAGCTCAGTTACTGAAAAAGCTATTTCACATGTATTTATTCTATGTTTAATGAGACTCCATCCGCATTTAGGCCCAAAGATCAGATTTAGCGGTTCATTTTGAAGCACCAAGTGTTGATAATTTACCTCCATGCAATTTGGACGGAGTATTAGCCAAAGATATTAACTTGAGCCAAAAGTAGGTCACTGTACGGCGGCCAATGAGATCATAAATGTCCAGTAACCTGAGACAATATAAAAAGGAGGTGGTAGCCATGAAGGGCTTTAATGCCAGCTAAGGGCCTGCTTTTCAAGTCTTCACTCTCTGTGCCACACTCATGCACCTTAGCACACTTTCCTAGTCGTCTTTGCCTACTTTGTAGGGCCACATTCTCCGTTGTTTTAGTCAGGACATTAGCAGCTGAGTCGTTGTTTGCGATAGAACATTAACTCCCCAATAAGGAATGGTGATTTGGTCTCTATGATCAGCCCTACATTTACAACAACAGCGCTCGGATTTTAACCGCTCAATATGTCCTGGATCTAAACCGCTCAACGTGTCCTTGGTGATGAATCAATCAAGCTCCAAATCTTCTGCCGATGCCCTGTGCCTTTCCTACGACGTGCACGTACCAAGCGGAAAAAAGACCATATAATACGTTTCATTGTTATTATACTGCTGCTTAAATTACTGGAACTTGCCTTTTTATTACAATTTATTTATTTATTTATTATCTTTTTATTTATTTATTTATTGTTATAAAAAATCAAAGCATAGTTATAAAACAAACCAGGCATCGAATATGAATGCGTTTCAAGACATTATTTTGGGGTTAAAGTTATTTTTACACGAGCCGTTTTTAACGGTTTTTTGTTGTTGTTGCTTTTTACTTTTAGTGTGTGTTTGGAGGGGGGTTAAAGTCGCACTAATAGATACATCAGTAGAGTGGTTTTTGTCATACCACTTTCTTGTAAAATAATTCATAAGGTCAAGAGAAAAAGATTTTATAAATAGATAGTATATAAGAAACAAATAAATCTATAAATACAGGATTTATTTTCCTCGACTGGTATGAAAAAATCCTGTCCCCCTCGTGGCTTCCGCCACACATGAAAAAAACATATTTTCATACCACTCGATAAAAATAATTTCTGTTTTTATAGAAACAAATGAATATCCTCTATACAGTATTTACAATTTAACTTCATTGTATCATTATGTTTCATGGTAAGGCCTTAAAAAATAAAAAGTATAACAAATAAGAAAACAATTTTTACAAGTTATCAAGTTAAGATTGTTTAGCCTTTATAAACAAATGAATGTAATATTTGACCTTGCTAAGATTACATGAGTTTCAAATTATGTTATGTAATTTTGAATTGTAAAGTATGTTTTACATCATATGTAATCAAATATAAAATAATTTTTATCTTAAACTATTTATAAATGAGTAATGAAAAGCGGGCAAAGTAAGTAAGTTTAAGCAGATAACATTCAACTGTTTACATTGTTTTGTGGTTATCATAAATTATCCGCCTAAAATACAGTAGGTCCTGAGGCCAATCTTCAGGGGACATAACTTTCTGTCATTCCTTGCATTATCCCGAGGCCAATAAAACATATTTTTCATCTGACAGAGTCATGAACCTAAAAGGTCAATATCCGGCACCAGAAATGTCTCCGATCTCCATCGGAATCTTTACAAACTAATTTTCTGTTTAATCAAATTCATTTTATTACATGATAATTGTAAACAGTATTGTAAATTATAGATTTGTGTAGAAGTTGCATGTGATGTTGATAATTCATTTATTCAACAACAATAAAGACTGCTGGATATTGAAGCAAACAAAGGTACTAAACATTCTTTCACAAAATAACCAAAGTGCTTTTTTTTATTTAATTAAATGTTCAGTGCATTTAATAAATAGTACGATAGAAACTCCATTAAAATCACATTTTAAGCCTTATATTCATTTACATAACGTTATCACGTGTAATCATATATTGTAGCAGATAACAAGTCAAATATGACAGGCGGGTCATCGAAATATTTATTATCGTTTGAACTATTAACAATCAACTGTTTTCGTGGTGTAGTGGTTATCACATCCGCTTAACACGCGGAAGGTCCTGAGTTCAATCCTCAGCGGAAACATATTTTTTAATGATTTACTTGATTTTTTTTTCATATACATGTATTTGTCTACTTTATAGTGTGATTATTATATAAAGTTTCATGTGTTTATTTTTTTTAAGAGCTTTTAATGTTCCGCTGGTAGATTGCTGTTTTGTTGTTGTTGTTTTTTATGAGTCACTTTCGTGAAAATCTTGCAGAAATCAAACAGCAAGATAGCTTGTGTATATGTTACACCTACATATCATACTCAATTTTTTCTCATGTTTGATTTACGCCCTTGTGGTAAATAAGATGTATAAAACCGCATGTTGCTGTTGTTTTTTATCTACTATATTTGAATACAAAAAACTTACTGCTCACTGTTATATCGACAGTTAAACAAGCGTATGTAATGTGTACCTTGAGCATGATTAGATATAGCGACTTTATTCAAATCACGGTCTTAAAATATTAGTCCAAAGATTTGTTTTATTTTATGTGAAATAAATGATATACCGGAAATGGAAAAATCTCTTTTCAGATTTCAAAATATATCATAAAATTATAAAAACCTCCGGCGGGACTCGAACCCGCAATCCCCGGCTTAGGAGGCCGATGCCTTATCCATTAGGCCACGGAGGCACTTATCCTCTCTTATAAAAAGGGCATCATGTGCTGTATTATTTATATCATATATTTTTAAACAATTAGATTGAGCTGAAGCTTTGTCATGAATATTATTTGTTTTGTCCTTAAATGCTCAAAGTGGTGGAAATAACATCATAATATTTAAACAATCTCCTGTTTTGTCCTTAAATGCTCAAAGTGGTGGAAATAACATCATAATATTTAAACAATCTCCTGTTTTGTCCTTAAACGCCCAAAGTGGTGGAAATAACATCATTATATTTGAACAATCTCCTGTTTTGTCCTTAAACGCCCAAAGTGGTGGAAATAACATTATAATATTTGAACAATCTCCTGTTTTGTCCTTAAACGCCCAAAGTGGTGGAAATAACATTATAATATTTGAACAATCTCCTGTTTTGTCCTTAAATGCTCAAAGTGGTGGAAATAACATCATAATATTTAAACAATCTCCTGTTTTGTCCTTAAACGCCCAAAGTGGTGGAAATAACATTATAATAATTTGAACAATCTCCTGTTTTGTCCTTAAATGCTCAAAGAGGTGGAAATAACATTATAATATTTGAACAATTTCCTGTTTTGTCCTTAAACGCCCAAAGTGGTGGAAAATAACATTATAATATTTGAACAATCTCCTGTTTTGTCCTTAAATGCTCAAAGAGGTGGAAATAACATTATAATATTTGAACAATCTCCTGTTTTGTCCTTAAACGCCCAAAAGTGGGTGGAAATAACATCATAATATTTGAACAATCTCCTGTTTTGTCCTTAAACGCCCAAAGTGGTGGAAATAACATCATAATATTTGAACAATCTCCTGTTTTGTCCTTAAACGCCAAAGTGGTGGAAATAACATCATAAATATTTGAACAATCTCCTGTTTTGTCCTTAAACGCCCAAAGTGGTGGAAATAACATCATAATATTTGAACAATCTCCTGTTTTGTCCTTAAACGCTCAAAGTGGTGGAAAATAACATCATAATATTTGAACAATCTCCTGTTTTGTCCTTAAATGCTCAAAGTGGTGGAAATAACATCATAATATTTGAACAATCTCCTGTTTTGTCCTTAAACGCTCAAAGTGGTGGAAATAACATCATAATATTTGAACAATCTCCTGTTTTGTCCTTAACGCTCAAAGTGGTGGAAATAACATTATAATATTTGAACAATCTCCTGTTTTTGTCCTTAAACGCTCAAAGTGGTGGAAATAACATCATAATATTTGAACAATCTCCTGTTTTGTCCCTTAAACGCTCAAAGTGGTGGAAATAACATCATAATATTTGAACAATCTCCTGTTTTGTCCTTAAACGCTCAA